TCGATCAAGTCCTGGCCTGGGTCTACTTCGTCACATGATGTCCTTGTGCAAGAGCACAGGCTGCGGGATAGCGAATCCATAGGAGAAGCATCTAAATGGGCCTGGTCTAATGGGCGGCGTGGGCTCTTTGCGCCCGCTCTCTCGTCTCCTGGAGGCGGCGCCTCTGGAGGCGTCGCCATTCTGCTGAAGCCGGCCCTGGGTTTGTATACTCTTGAAGGTGGTTCGATTTTGGTTCCTGGCAGGGCCATCCAGGGGTGCGCGCAGATTCCAGGGGGTCACACTGTTCTGCTTCTCAGCCCATATCTTCATGATTCAGAAGGGAATTCAGATCGCAATCTCCAGTTGCTTGCGGACGCGGGCAGTGCGATCGAAGTTTCCGACAAGCCCTTCGTGCTGGGGGCTGAGTACAACATGTTGCCAGACACGCTCAAGTCTAGCATGTTTGCTTCCAAGCTGTCGTCCAACATCGTCTAGCCAGATGTTCCTGGGACTTTCCTGGGATCTGGGGGTCAGCTCAGTATGTATGATTACTTTGTGGCTTCATCGGGGCTCACAAAGTCTATCTCGCAGGTATTGGTCGATCATGGGTCAGACATCAAGACGCATTATCCGTCTACTATCACCTTCTATCCAGATGCGGCTTCGTTATGCGCCCTGTCGTTCGCGAAGATCCCCAAGATCCAGGTTGAGGTTCCCATCGGGCCTGCATGTGAGCCTCCGTCTGCTGAAGTGGTGCTGGATTGCGCCCGCCACGGTTTGGATCTAGTACAGAAGCGTGCCAAACGTTCAGACATGCAACGTCATTTGGATACCTTGTATCATCTCTGGGCAGATGCAACTGAAGTGGAGCTGGCCTCTTCGCGTTTCGAGCAGTTGCAGTCACCTGGCCTGCGAGGTAGACCGCCGAAGCTCACCTGGGTCAACATTTTCGGCTCGGATCGGCGCCGTCGCGAGGTCAGGCAGCCTGGCATCGTCGGCTTCCGCTGGCTGTGCAAGGCGGTCGCTGGGCTCCGCTCTGTGCTAGCTGCTGGAGCAGGCTATCAGGCTTGCAAGCCGTATATTCAGTCTATCTTGGATCCTCCAGAGAATGTTAAGGATAAGTTGCAGGATTGCCAGGGTGAGATTCAGAAGATTCAGGTTCTCTTGGGCTCCTGTGGTTCCCAGGATCTCCAGGAGAAGCGTCTGGAGTATCTGGAGGAACTGGAGGCTGCTCTTTCCGCGTCTCTCGAGAAGTACGCTGGTCAGGCTAAAGTCGCTGCACAGCGTTCTTGGCGAGCCTGGCTGCTGGATGGCATCGATGCTGGTGGCAGGCGTGCACATTCCTGGAATAAGGAACAGGCCCCCTGGGCGCCTACGACCACCTTGTCATCTCACGGCCAGGTCCTAGCCGACCCGTGCAGCTTACTCGCTTCGGAGGCCTTGAATTGCGCCAATAGTTGGGAAAGTTTTCAGGAGGAGCCCGAGGATAAGCCTATCGAGTACCAGGGCCCCTTGGATTTATCGTCTCCTGAGGCGCTCAGAGATATTTCCAGGAGTTATTGCAAATTTTCGGCTGTGTGTATCGATGGTTTTCACTGCAAGCATAGTTGTTCCCTTTCGGGGCCTTTTCTTCTCGCGCTCTCCATCCGCTATAATATCATGGAGTCCACGTCTATGCTTCCGTGACAAATTAGAGCCATCGTTCTGTTTATGCTGGAGGGGCCCTCGGGGGGATATCGCCCCATAGGGTTATGCAGTGCAGTGTGTAGGATCTGGGGAAGGGCCCGCGGGAATGTACGCAGTTCCTGGGCGGCCAAGAACGCCAGATCATATCTTGCTGCCTCTGCCTTCTGCGGGGCCAGCGACGCCGTCTGGCGCCAGGCAGCGAGGTCAGAGCTAGGAGTCAGGAGGGGAGACGTAGCTGTTAGCGTGCTCTGGGACCTCTACAAGTTCTACGAAAGGAATCCCTTAGATGTTCTCCTGGCTCGGGCGGGCATGCGGGCTTTCCCTCGTTGTCTGATCAGGTTAGCTGTCAGTGCTTATCGCGGGCCAAGGTTTGTATCGCTTTCCACTCTGGTGAATGGTCCACACTATGCTACCCTGGGTGTTATAGCTGGTTGCTCTATAGCTACAACATGTGTCAGAATCTTTCTGATCCTTGCCCTGGATATGCGGGTTCTTCCTAAGCAGCTGTACTTCCATGCTTACATTGACGACTATGGTTTATCGGCTGTAGGTTCAGAAAGGCATGTAACAGGGCACATCAAGGAGTCTGCGGCAATGCTAGCGGACATTGTTAGGACCGAGTTGCGCAGCAGGATCTCGGAGGACAAGGCCGCCCTCATCTCCTCGTCCCCGGAGCTCGGTCAGGAGTTGCGCAAGTTCTTTGGAGGCTTGAGTGGTAGTTCAGTCTCATCTGCTGTCAATCTTGGCATAGACGACACCGTCGGTCGTCCGCGCAGGCTTCCCAAACAGGGCCCTGAACATCAGCAGAGGAAAAAGGTTCTGAAGACTGTCTCTCCTGTGGTCAGGTATGCTAAAGAAAGTTGGTCTAATCAGCTGCGTGAGTTCGAGTTTGCGTTCCTTTTAGCCAGCTGAGAGAGGCGTGGACCTCCGCGTTTGCTGCAGGTAACGCTACGTGGTGCAGTCGCTCAGGTCCTTTGTCAGCTGCTCGCTTTTCCTTGGAGAGGATTGGTTGGTCCATGGCCGACTTCGCGACCCTGGTCACGGACGCAGGGGTGGAAATCAGTCTCACCACCACCTCCCCAAAACTCATCAAGAGGCATCTGCACCAAGGGGTCCTGAGGCCCTTGGAGAAGTATTATGAACAAAAGCTGGGGTTCGAAGGCAGGTCATGTTTCGACGTCGTCAAGCAGCAGCTCAGGTCCAGGAGGCTTACGCCTTTGCAGAAAGGCTCGCTCAAGTGTTTTGCCTGTGACGGGTTGTGGACGAAGACCCGTGCGCAGGCTCCAGGCTACGCCTTAGAAGGTGACGATCTCCTCTGTGCGCTGTATAAAAGTGCTCCTGATACGATCCAGCATCGGTTATATCAGTGCCCAGTCGACGAAGATCGTAGATTGGAGATCGTTGACCTACAGTTCGTGCAGAATGCTCTGGAGGCCCAGCCTGATCAGGAGGATTTCCAGCTCTATACCAAGGCGTGTTTCCCGCATCCAGGTGACAAGCTGCCGCCGCCCGCCAAGGAGTCCACAATTTCAGTGTCTTGGGCTGATTCGACCTCGACCAGTACTGAGATCTCAGGGCATGTGTTTTTTGACGGGTCCCAGACCAAGTGCGATGTTCCTGAATTCAACAGGGCTGGTTGGGGTTTGGCTGTTTTCAATGGTGACCTAGAGCATGTTTGTTCCATTTGGGGCCCGATCTGGGCCCACCTCCCGCAAACGTCCCAGGCTGGAGAGTTCGGCGCCTACGATGCCTCAAATGAGTTTCTTGTTGGCCCATCCGTGGGCTACAGTGATTGCAGTAATGTAGTCAAGCAGTTTGCTCAGCCTGGTGTTAGGCAGACTCACTATAAGAGACCATATGCTGGCATGTTTCTGAAGAGGAATTCTCTTTTTTCTCGAGTTGTGAAGGTTCGTGCGCATGTCAAGGACAGCGACGAGCTAACAGATTATGAACGTTTCTGCAAGAGAGGGAATGATGCAGTTGACCAAGCTGCTAAGCAGGGCGCAGCTTCCCACCCACAGCCCTCGCCATCTGAGCTGCAGGAGGTTTCGCGCCTCACGACTGCAGCTAGGAAGGTGTGTAAGCTCGCCTACTCCCTCCTCCCCCTCTGGCCAAAACTGGATCTGACCAGTGTGCCCTGGTACAGGCAGTCAGAGCCTGTAGCCAAGGTGGAGCCTAATTCAGTCGCCCGCCAGTGGCACTGGCGCCGCACTTTGTGGCGTTGCCAAGCGTGCCTTCAGTTCAAGCGTCAGCAAGCCAGACCCCACGCAGGCAAGTGCTCTGGTGTATTGCCGTCTGTGGCTCTCGGTTTCCAGGACCGTGGTCATCGGGTGATTGGTCTGGAATGCTCCAACGAAACCATCTGTGCATGAGATGTTTCGGGTACACATGTGGTGGTCAGTTTAAGAAGCTTCGGGACGAGTGTAGGCCAGAGGTGAAAGGCAAGTTCAGTAAATATTATTCTGCTGTGTTGCGGTCGCTCAGCCGTGGGCTGCACCCCAAGCTTGCTGGGGTAACGTGCCAAGTTTTGCACCTTGATGATATTGAGCAGGAGGCGGAGGACCAGAGTGTTGGTGTGGTTGAGGCGTCGTTCGAGTCGGGTGGGGGGGGCCGTCTCGTGCAAGTCGCTAGGCCTGATCCGTCTCCTGCTCAGAGTTCCTCCCCCCAGACCCCGAGGCCACCCGTGCCCTTGGTTCCGTCTGGTCTGGAGGGGAGGACGAATTCGGATTCTTTTGCAGAGTGAGAGAAGGCTGCGCGCTTCCTCTTCGCCCCACCAGGCCGTCTCTTGCCAATGCGTTCGAGAGTAGCCCCGCCGAGCAGCAGAGGACATGCAGGCAGCGCCTCCTCCAAGAGGAGGATGATGCCCCCCTTCTGATGAAGGATGCTCGTGTTAGGTCTGCGGAGTCTGATGACTCTGACTGACTTTGGTCCTTGGGGTGCCCGTCGTTCGCGTCAGCCACCGCCTAGGTCCGCTTTTGTGCCAGATTTATCTGGCCTCTCCCCGGTGTCACCTCCTGGGCACGGTGCGGAGTTATAACAAAAATCCTCCTCCTCCTCCTCCTCCTCCTCTTCCTCCTCCTCCTCCTGTCACGGAAACACGTACAACATCGCGAATCAATAAACCCGACCGGGTCCCTGGGCCCATCTTTTTGCTGGATTCCCGGGCCGGATCGATCTGTGATGATCCCAGGGTCTGAAGTGGGGCGCAAAAGGCCTGGTGCGACAACGCTGCGACCCCCTCTGGCGGACGCCAGCGTAGCCAGCGCCCGTCGACGCAGTGAGTGGCCCTTTTGGCCCTCCGTTTACACTCTTGCTGCGCCCGCGGCGCCGCTCAGACGCGAGCCTCAAGACGTACAAGATCGCCCGCGGCCACATCCAGAAGAGAAAGCCGCCGCTGGCGCTGCTGGAGGCCTGGAGCCCACGATGGGGGAGAGCGGGGAAGGGGGTGGAGGGAAGGAGAGAAGGAACGCGGAGGAACCTAGGTCTCCGAGGATCGAATGTTTTGAAGACCTGGCAGGTTGTCCTAAGTGTCGGTTTCCTTGGCTCGTTGTCGGTCCCCGGGGTTACCCAAACTCGGGGAACATTGGGGCCGCAGAGTGAAGAACCGACATCGGATAATGTTTTGGAGGTGAGGGGGGGGGACACGTAGAAAGGGAGGGAGGGTTTTGCGGCCACGCGCCAGAGTTTTACACCCTGGCGGGATCTCTTCTCCGAGGTGATGCGGCTGGTGGACAGAATCTTGTATCACCCGCGCGACTGGGGTACTGGCACAAACTTCAACCCGCCCTCAAACCTTGAACCTCGAATCCCTGGGGCGCGCCGCCGAAGGGGGGGCCAGGACGGCTGTCGTGGCATCGGCAGTGTCGGCGGAGAGGCGGTGTTTGCGCCGATGCCAGAGCTCATCGCCGAAGAGGCCATCTTGGCCGAGGTACCGGCGCAGCGTGAGGGGTGCGCTCGCGCCGCCAGGGTTGGCCAGGGACGAGGCCAGCCCGGCCGCGGCAGAGGCAGCGCTCGAGAAGAGCGTGCGCCCGCGTCGGTGTCCAAGGCGATCTCGGGACGGGCCACCACGGCTCGACCACGGCGGGTGCGGTGTCTGCTGAGGACGAGCCCGCGTCGCTGCATGGGCAGATCCCAGAAGAGGCCAACACGACCTCGACAGTGGAGGTGTCGGAGGAGAGCGCGCCAGCGTCGCAGCGCGGGCAGAGGCCAACATGGTATCTATCGCCGGAGTCAGAAGAAGTGACGGTGGTGCAGGCGCCCCTGAAAATCGCGGACGAGGCCACCCACAGTCAAGACTGGGCAGGCACGGAGATACGGCACACGCTAGGTCAGTTGTAGAGTAACAGCGCTCGCCACTGCGCCCATCATGCAGAACAGATGCGCGCACCTGCTTCCATCGTAGTAATTGGAGGCAGAGAGACAAGAAGGGAGGCGGGAAGGACGAGGAAGATGACGATGAGGAGGATGACGAGGATGAGAAGGAGGGGGAGGAAGAGGAGGACGAGGAGGAGGAGGGGGAGGAAAGAGGAGGAGGAGGAGGGGGAGGAGGAGGAGGAGGAGGAGGAGGAGGAGGAGGAGGAGGAGAAGTGGCAGCTGCATCACCCGAGGTGGTCCTCACTTCAGCGCCCTCGCTCAGGACGCTGCAGTGAGGACCGCCTCGGGCTCGCAGCGGGCCTTGGCCCGCGGGCCCTGCCTCGGGCTCTGGGCCGGGGGGGGGCCTCCGCGTGGCCTCGGCCCGCCGTCGCAGAGGAGGGAAGCCCCCCATGAGCTCCTCGGCTGGCATGCCCTCGTGGTCGCGCGAGGCCTCAGGAAGGAACACCAGGCACAGGCGCAAATCGACGCCGATGCCCAGCAAGATCTGGACGTCGGGGAACTGGAGGGGAGGACGACCATCCAGGAGATGTGGAGGCACGCGATCCTGGAATCCGTGCCTACTTCTTTGCGCCTCCCCGGGCCCCTGGAGAGGAGGAGTGCAGCCCGCGGCGAGGTCGGAAGAGGACGCGGCTCCGCTCCGCTGCCCACACCGCACACCGCGACTGCGGCAGGGGCGCGGGTGGAGCATGTGACGACACGGCGCTCACGGCAGCAAAGATGGGCCGGGATTCGCCTCAAAGTTCTCGTCAGGACTCAGACCAGGAGAGGACTGGGGAGTAGCGGTACCGGTGCCCTTCGGCAGCAAATCATGGGAGCCTTGTGTACCCTCGTAATTTTGTCTTGCCTGTCGATGAGCATCGATTAGCGTCTGGGAGTCGAATTAGCGTCTGTTAGCGTCGATTAGCGTCGTTTTAGCGTCGATTCAGCGCCGACTAGTGTCGACTCGCAAGAGCCGACAAGATGATATGGGAGGCCCCCATGAGTTGCCACCGACCTGTACCCTTTGTTTTCCCCATTCTCCCCTCATCTTCCCGAATGGCGCGGCACTCGGGAGGATGAGGGGACAATGGGGGCGCCGCGCCCCCCCTCCGCGGCCTTCTTGCTGGCCGATCACCGCTGGCCGAGGGCTACCCACCGCCTGGGGCTCCTAGCCTGAGTCCTCGTGTCCGCCCCGCCCTCCTCGATCCTACCCGATCCTCCTCCCCCCAGGTACTCGATCCCCCCCCTCTCCTCCTCTACCCGCCTCCTCCTCCTCCTCCTCCTCCTCCTCCTCCTCCTCCTCTCCTCCTCCTCCTGCCCGCCTCCTCTCCTCCTCCTCCTCCTCCTCCTCCTCCTCCTCCTCCTCCCCCCGCCCTGCCCTCCCGCTCCGCCTCGATCCTCCTCGATCCCCCTCCCCCCCCGCCTCCTCCTCCCCGGTCCCCCCCCCGTCCTCCCCCGGGTCCTCCCCCGATCCCCCACCCCTGGGGCATCCTCCCCCTCGCTCCTCCGCCCCTCCCGCCGCCCCCCCCCCCGTTTGCCGACACCCCGTTCCCGTCAGAGCCGCCGCGCCCCCCGAGCCGCGCCCGCTGCGCCAGCCAGCGGCCCGCGCCGCCGCGAGAGGTCGCGGACTGGGGCGAGCACGTCCCCGTGAGGCACCAGCGCGAGGCGCCGGCGCCCCGAGCGCCCGCCGACCTCCGCGGGGGGGCGGAGCGACCAGTCGTGGGAGGGACCTCTCGCTGGAGTGGCCTCCGGTGCGGGCCCAACGGGCCCCCCCCCATCGCTGGGCGCGAAGCGGTAGCTCATCGAGGAGAAGGGGGCCCCTGGCCCTGATGACATACACATGGTTCGTTTCTAGTTCTTCGAGGGTTCTTTGATTTTTTTGGGGGGCGAGATCCTTTCATTTCTCATGGCTCTATCTGGGCCTCTTCCTGGCCGCCAGGGGGTGAGGCACAACTAGAAACGAGCACACTTAGAAATGAGCACGATTAGAAATGAACGACGTGTAGTGAAGACGTGGCCTCCCCCCCTCCCTGGCAGCTCGGGTGCCCTCAGATCCGTACATCGAACATGGCACTGAACTTACATAAACTGTCGGAGTTCCGCGCGGATTGCTTGGATCGGCGCTGGACCCCCTGGCGGTTATTCCGGCGCCGCCCCTGGCCCGCTCGCGCGAGGAAGGGGAGTCCAGCGCCGAGAAGTGATGTTCATGCCGCTTTTGTTTCTGCATGCAGGCAGGTCAGGGGCAACGATCAGGGGTCGGATGGGCTCAGGGGGGGAAAGGCAACGGCCCCCGATCGCCCAGTCATGGCCGATACAGTGGGGGCGCGCACCAAGAAACCACTTGCCTTTCGTCAGGGTACCCTGTGTTTCTTCGCTCCGCGCGCTGCGCGGTGGCTTCCCGCGGCCGTCGGAGAAGCTGCTGCGTTCAGAGTGCTCCGGGTTTCTCCTCAGGTGCACCTCGAGCGCGGGTTTTCAGGGTTGGGTTTCTTGCGAGGTTTTCTTGCGGCCGCGCCCGCACTGTAGGGGCCCGATAGCCCACCCTGCCCTGAAGCGTGCGGGCTCGCCATCGGGGGCCTATCGCCGATCCATCGTCGATGCATCGCCGACCGACTCCAGGTCGATCGGGTATCCCTGCGATGACGTCGGCCTCGGTCCCTCTTCTCCCGCGCGGGCCCCGGAGGCGAGGGCCGCCAGAGATACCCCATTCTCGTCCTGGACTTCCCCACGACCGCGACGACGACGACGACGACGACGACGAGGACGTCGACGACGACGACGATGACGTCGACGACGACGATGACGACGACGACGACGTCGACGACGACCACGACGACGACGACGACCACGACCACGACCACGACGCCTCCCCACCCCACCCTCCCAGCAGCGTCCAGCGTCCGACCTCCAGCCTCCAGCATCCGACCTTCCACTCCCACCTCGACCCATCGAGCTCCAGACCACACCAGATCAGCACTCCGACGTCCAGCAGCCGGCATCCGACTCCCGAGCCACCTCCACATCGACCACCAGTCGCCCTGGGCGATTCTTCAGGGCTCTGGTCTCCCTGCGCCTAGGGCCAGTCCCGCCCGACAGACACCACGCGCTTCGCTTCCCCCTCCCCTCCCCACCCCATTCAACTCTGGAGGAGTAGGTGGGTGCTTCTCCCGAATCTTGTCGCCGCGTCTTTGGTCTAGGCTTCCCAGATGGGGTCGGAGAAGACGGGGTCGGAGGATTGAGCCGCATCGCCGATGAACGGCGATGTGGCTCGACGTGGAGGCCGACTTTCTGCACACCCACGTCACCGAAGCATCGCCGACGTCGCCGATGAATCGGCGGTGCTCCGACCCGCACTCTCCGACCCCATCTTGGAGGTCTCTGTTCCTGAAGTGGCCTTTGTGGACACACGGCTGTCGTTCTGACTCCGATTCCCCCCGTGCCAGGGGAGAGAGGGAGAGAGAGAGAGAGAGAGAGAGATTGAGGGCGTAGGAGGAGGAGGAAGAGGAGGAGGAGGAGGAGGAGGAGGAGGCGGAGGAGGGAAGAGGAGGAGGAGGAGGAGGAGGAGGAGGAGGAGGAGGCGGAGGAGGGGAGGAGGAGGAGGAGGAGGGAGGAGGAGGAGGAGGAGGAGGAGGAGGAAGGAGGAGGAGGAGGAGGAGGAGGAGGAGGGAGGAGGGAGGAGGAGGGATGCTCCGATTCCCCCCGTGCCAGGGGGAGAGAGGGAGAGAGAGAGAGAGAGAGAGAGAGAGAGCGAGAGAGAGAGGGCGCGGGCGGGGGCAGCGCACGGGGGGCGGGCGCCGCTCCCTCGGAGGCGCTTCGGAGGCGCATGGATGCGCAACTCCGCACTCGGCCCCACCCCCCCTCGCCCCCCCCCAGCAGGGCTCCTTAGGGCTCCTGTCGACGCTTCCGGTTCGATTCTATTCGATCTCGATGGCTTCCGATTCCGATTCGATTCGTCTTCGGATCCCGGTATGGACGCCAATTTCTAAATGGAGGCCTACTAGCCTGCCGATTCCCGCCGACTCGACTTTTCCCGACTCGGCTGACGACTTCTGCCGATCCGATTCATTTCGATCGCTGATCCGATTAACCGATTCGATTCTGGGCTCTCCTGCCCCCCACCCCATTAGCAGTCGTCCGGCCATGGGCACACGTGGGTGCGAAGTCTCTGTCGGGTCCCCGACCCCACATGGGCGCGACGTCTCTGTGGGTACAGATGTCGGATGGCATCTCTATTGTGGGCATGCAGTATCGTACACCAGTCACAATGAGAAGTGCACGTCTGTCGTACTAGATGCGCGCGACTGAGCCAAATAGGCAGCAGCACAATGATCTGCCACCGCACACGTTTCCCATAATTCGCAGGCCCCCCCTTGAAAGGGTGCAGCTCTGGGGAGGCTGGACTCAGAATCTGTGCTGGTCTATCCGCGGTCGAACGCCGGCCTGATCTGGCACAGTTCCGTGTCATGCCCCCGCAATCCCATGCAATCCGGCCTGATCTTGCCTAATCTTGGGCTCTGTTTGGACTCATGCGGCCGAGTGGCCCCTCAATCGGGCTCCGTAGAGCCTTTCATCGTTCTCACGAAGACCTCCCATGGGTTGCCTCCCAATCCCTCTGTTCAGGGTTTCCTAGAACTTTTGTGTCCCTTGTGGCACAGTCTTGCCAGCACGACCCAAGCATACTTATACTATGCGTGCGTCGGCATCGAAAGGGCGACGCGCACTCTTAGAAATTTGATTCCCAACCATCCTGTGGTGCTGGGTCCTCGTTTTGAAGAGACAGCGCCCCGCGTCTCCTTTCCTCTCCTTTCTCCTCCCCCTCATCTCACCCTTGCCTCTGTCCTCCGCATGTCTGTTTCGGCACACACACACACACCTTACACGTTTCGTGCCCCCATAGGGAGCTCCACCGAAGGCCCAAATGTGCCCCCCGCATCCATGTTGGCACACCCCTCACACGTTTCGTGGCCCCAGAAGGGGCTCCGCAGAAGGCCCAGATGCCAGCGCTCGCACGCGCCCACCGCGCCCATTTTGGCACACCCCTTACACGTTGCGAGGCCCCATCGGGAGCTCCACCGAAGGCCCAAATGCCAGCGCTCGCATACGCCCACCACACCCATGTTGGCACACCCCTTACACGCTTCGTGGCCCCGTAGGGAGCTCCACCGAATGCTGTGCACACAACGACGGTGCCCACAACTGCATATGGTTGGGTCATTCATCAGGCTACTCGTATAAGCTACTTGGCGGGCGCATTCTCGCCATAAACCTCGGGAGAGGATGTCCTGTAAGGTGTCTGTGCTCCATGCTCGTGTCGGACGTGCGCCTCCAACACCAGCACACAGTACTATTGTCTCCTTCGGCACCCTACTGGCCAGGGTTTCCTAGACCATAGACACGCCAACGGCAATGCAGGTAACGGCGATGTAGGTGTCGGTGTTGTAGGTGGGGGTGGGGGGTCGTGGCCAACACCCGATTGTAGGAAAGGCTTCTTCGCGCTGCTCTGCAGCTTGTTCTGCGCGAGTTCGGCGCCGCGAAAACCAGCTTCCCGACATCGCCATTCACCAGCATCGCTGTCAGCGTGGCCTTGGCTGGCCTCCACGGTGGCCCTCCCAGGGCAGCACTGCTTCTGCCCTGGCCCCGCGCGGGCCTCGGAGGCGGCGCGCCTCCGTGCGCTTGCCTGCACGCTCCGCCCCGCGCGGGGGGGGCAGCCGCCGTCGTCGCCCGGCCGCCGCCGCCGGTGGCCGTGCCGCTGCGGGCATCCCGTCGGTCGTCCCTCGTGCCGCTGTCGCCGTCGCCGCCTCAGCCCCCGCCGTCGCCATCGCCGCCTGCCACCGAGATGGATCTTCAGAACCCCGCCCCCCGATGGTGGGAACTGAGGATCCTTTCGATGCCCTCATTGACGGACTGGGGCCCCACTCACAGTGGAAAATAACTGCTTCTCCGCGGCACCCGCCGCGCAACAACGACGACGACTACGACTACTAGGAAGAGGGGGAGGAGGAGGGGCAAGCAAGCAAGCAAGACCCGGGCAGCCGATGCCCTCTGCTCTGTGGCCCACCCCTGCTGGGCGAGTGCTGCAGCCATGACAGAACGCCGCTGGTGACATCAATGCGCAACCTGGGCCAGCCTGCGGGACGCCACAGTTCAAAGGGGGCCTGCTGAGCCCGCGTGAGCACGGAGGCGCACCACACTACAGTCAGCGCGCCTAGAGACGAGGCTCAGTGCCCTTGGGACCATCGCTGCGGAGGGAGGCCCCCAGGGAGCACCAGGTCTCGGGACAAGTCGGGAGCAGTGCTGCAGCCTCTTCGGACCGACCTTGATCTCCGCTGTGCGCGCGCGCGCCTTTGCTTGTGCCGATCTACTCGCACTCACTGCCCGCTCCACCCCACTCACACCGCCTCCCCGCTCCCCTCTCCCACACTAGTAAAACGCTAGGCGGAAACTCTCAGCCGAAAGGCGGAGGATATTCAGGTATTTGAGACGTGAATAAAAAAGGCGAACCAACCTCACGGCCAACATGTGCCCTCATCACCAGCTCGGATGACGATATGTAGCTCCCGACGCTGTGTCTTCAGATCTCTGAGGAGTGACCTGGCTCTCCCGCTACCTGATGCTGCCAACCGGCGAAGTCCAAGTAGATGGACCGACGCCTGCACTCGCCCTCTCGA